ATACTACCTCCAGTGCTACAACCTGCCTCCCTCCAAGTGAAACTTCCATTTATCGTTCAAGCTGAGGTGTTAATTCAGGCTCTGTTCGCAGGGGAGTCTGCAAAGCTTCTGTTCAGGCTCTTGGGTGTCTTGAAAGGGAGATAAGATGGAAAAATTGGTGGGAGGAAATTTGAGGGCTCTTACATGAAGGGAGCTCTCTGGAGAAGCTGCGTTCAGCCTTATGTTTGTCACCAGAATAAAACCTTCCTGGGATAAAATAGCTGCAAAAGGATGCGATGCTTGCTCCTCCCTAGGTCTCTGCCCAGGGTGGAAAGTTAGAAACTACCCAATCCCTTCTTCCTCCAGGACACTGATCCTCTAAGAGCCACCAGTGTCAACAGCCAGCTCCAAAGTTCACTCAAAATCAAGGAGACACCTGAGGGTACAACACTGGAACATGAACGCTGCCAGACTTCCACCAACTTTCATGAAACTTAAGCGAGACCAGACTTCACGCCTGACGTAGCCCTCACAGGCAATGACTGGTGTACCATGGGCACGGTGGTCCCCATAATGTCCCTTTTCAGATGAATCAGAGGTGTCCTAAGAGGTTCCTGATGGACCTCAAGAACTATAGCCTTCCATTAATATCTCTAAGCAGAACCAAGCTGGCTTATTTACTCTTCCACTGACTCTGGCCCAATTCATTTGTACAGACGCAGGATATACTTCCCCCTGTTGGCAGTCTTATTTATTATTTTTAATCTCTGCCCGTAAACTGGCAAGTAGGAGAAAGCAGATAAAATAGAAAGAGGATCTCTCAGGAGATTGGTTGGGCTTGTTAAATGTTTGGCACTCTGTGATTATCTGTTGGCAATGAAATGCCACTGCTATATTTTAACATGGAACATGATACCTTAACGTACAGGAGAATCTCCTCAGCCCACTTCTGGTACACTTGAGAGAGGAGAAATTCAATCATCTGTGACCTGGATTGTATTTTTAATGGTTGCCAAGCTAGATAAAATATTTAAATATTCACTTTTATATCGGCCCACATGAGGATTTGAGCATTTCAGGTTGTGTAACTGGCCTACTTTTGGAAGAGTATATGGAAATTGGCACATATGTACAAAATATTGAGTACACAGTATATGGGTCAGACAGCCAGTGTTAATTAGTATGGCACAACCAATTCCAGCAGAGCTAACCCAGCCCAGACCAACCAAGGAGTTAGTGTCACTTGTGTCGGATTTCATAGGTCACCTGGGTAAAAAATAGATGAATGCACCTAAAATAAAGATGGTCGTCCTCAAATGTGGCTGAGTCCCTCAAGCAAAGGCACTGAGGATGTTGGCCTGCCAGCAGAGCTGGCCTTGCAGGAATGGCTGTATCATGAGATTGGGGCTCTCGATGCCACCATGGGCTTGCCTGCCTCGTGGCACTGCCAGGAGAGAGTTAGGAAGAGCAAGGTGTGCCACGACCAGACCAGAAATGGGTGTCTACAGCCCGCACTGACTATACAGGTTACTCCTCCACCAGCTACACGAGAAACCTGAGCAATGAGCTCCGACGTAGACATCTCACTGGGTAGAGGCGACCTGTGGATCAGCCCCATCCCTGGTATCGAGACAGCTTCAGTGGAGCTGAGGCAGTTGAGATCCCTGGAAGAGCTGGATCGTGATGTCTTCGAGCAATGGGCAATGCTGGGAGGTTGTGGTCCTGCCGACTTGCGTTGGAGTTGAGTGCGTGAAATGGGCTTGTGTTATCAGGGGCTGGGAATTTCCTCAAGCAGAATATAAAGGGGGAGGATGTGCTAGGATGGCCGAAGGGGAGAGAATGGTGTAAGAATGTAAAAGTGTGAGGAAATGGGGGTGAGCCTTGCTACCTGCACCCCTGAGGCTCCCAGATGTGCATCTGCTCTGCAGATGTGGCTTGTCCACAGGGCAGGCAAGGCTTGAGTTATGTGATTGTCGAGCGCTTTGCCATGCAAAGGCATCGATCCTGATAGTAGCACAGGTTGACTGACTGCTGCCAATCCCAAGCATAGCAAAGTTGCTGTGAGGTGACAGGGAAGTGGGAGGCTACAGGGACAGTCCTGACCTGCCACACACCGATGGTGTCCTACCGGAATTATCACAGTTTCATGCGATATGCACTAAGCAACTAGTGCACGGAAAGAAGGGACCCAGCCTTCTAGTGGCACTCTGCTCCTCTCCAGTTCCCAGCAGGATCAGCTCAGCTTTGCAGAACTGGGACAGTCACAGACCCGAGGGACGAGCCAGCCCCACGTGTCCCAGAGCCCCTTCCCTGCCGCCACGTGCTGGTGGGACTCCCTGGCTCTGCCCGAGCCCCAGCTGGGTCCCCGCAGCCGACTCTGCAGCCCTTCAACCACCGTAACAGGTAACAGCAGCTCCGACAGCCCTCTCTCTCACAAAGGCTTATGACACTTTCTAAATTATCCAGATAAACCCCATTTCTCTTCACATACAAACAGTATCGTGATCGCATCTATATTAATAACACTCCACAATAAATTCTACCAGGTGACTGCTTAAATGTTGCTCTGAATTTTTACAAGACTTTCTTCTGAACTTGCTCCAGACCAAACGCCAGCTGCCTTGCCAAGGAATGCCCGTCGTGGGTGGCTCTCTGCCTGGGTGGAGATGCCAGGCTTTGGCCAAAAGCTTTTGCAGCCGGTTCCCTGCATCTCAGAGAGTCCGCATCGGAAAGGAGAGCTCTCGGTGAGCACCAAGCATCAGGAATTTCCTGGTCACCTGCAGTACACCATGTCTCCCTGCCTCCTTTGGTCAACCCTGTTTCCTCAGGGGTTGCGGATGAGCTATTCCATGTGTCCTATTGCTCTGCTGCTTCTTGCTTGCCCTGCCCGCTCTGCCCTGCCCTGCCTGCCTGCAGCAGGAGTTCGGTGAAATGGGAGGCACGGATCCTCCCTGCCAGCTTCCCAGCGGGCTGACGTGGGAGCTGGGATTGATCCATACGGCTAATCCCATACTGCTGGGTCTTCCTCGCGTTGGGAGACACAGTCCCTTGACAGGCAGAGCGGGACGAGTGCCTGAGCGGGTTAAACGGCATCAGTGCTGCCGAGATGGAGAATTCTGGGGTTAAATCTGAGGATTTTATTGGCAATTCCTGCTCTGACAATCAGCCCTGCTGAAGTCAAGGGGAGCTTTCCCTAAGGAAAGGGGAGCCAAACGCAGGGATGTGGCCCATGGCAGGGCACCCCCTCAAACCCTTCCCCACCCACCCTTGCCCTCTCCCACATCCATGCTGCTCCTCTGTTCGAGCCCCCCACTCAACACCACAGCTCGCGGCCCAGATGTGGAGATGCAGGAAGTGTCACGTCCAAGGGACAAGAGGCCATTTTGTGTCAGTCAAGAGACGGGAGGGCTCCGGGGGATATTTCTCAGCAGCTGGGCAGGGGGTTCATCGCATCCCACCACAAAGGGTTTCTCACCAGGGGGAAAAGGAGCAGAGGCTCGGGGCATCGTTCAACACTAGCATTTCTCTGGGTGAATTTAAGGATCAGCCTTCGAGCCTTTTGGTCCCAGCCATATCCTCCCACCTCCTTTACAGGTCTGGTCGCTTCTAGATAGCCAAAATACTACTTTTGTAGCCATCACCTACACGGCTACTGGGAGAGCCGGGGAGGTGGGCTCAGAGCCCAGCTTCTCCCCAGAAGAGATGCAATGTGGGGACTCAGTTTTCCCCCATCCAGGGACTCGCGGTACATGGGAACGCAAGGGACAACTTTGCAACACCATGTCGGGCAAGTCCATGGCTGGTCCTGGCTCATTTTCTGCTGGTGGGGAACCTCTCCCAGCTCTCTGCAGGCTTTTACTCCTGACTGTGATATTTTCAGTATTCCCCACCCCTGTGCTCTGCCCTCCCATGCCTCCTCCCTTTGTAGCTACATCAAAAGCCTTTGATGAATCACGCTCTATTTTGATGAGCAAACTGGTATTTTGAGCACTGTGGTGGGGGCCCAGTTCTCCAGGCTCCCCCGTCAGTGCCTGCCCTGTGGGGTAAGGTAAGGGACAGGGCAGGATCAGGCCAGGGGGAAATTAGTGCCTGGGTCTGAGTTGATCTCAATTGTACGGGCGCAGTTTGTGGGGCTGCATAGAGTTTACTTCAAAGCAGCAGTTTGTCTAATTAATTTTTTCTTTCAAATAAGACTGAAATGATGTGGTGCTAAGGCCAGGGGGAGTTGGGCTTGGGGAAGCTCCCTGGACACCTCTGCTCCCTTGCCAGCAGCCCCTTTCCCCCCTGAGGACAGCACGCATTGCACCTTTCAAAGCCTAGACAAGTGCTGTGTCTCCCTGCCAGCTTCACAAGCCTTGCCCTCGCCCTTTTCTCCCAGAAAAACTGGTCCTAAGGATGGAAATGGGCTCAGGTCACCAACGCCTCGGTCTTCTCCAGGGAGCACCAGCACAACGGTGACCATCCCTACACGACTGCTGTAAAATGTGGTGCATCGCTCTATGGGGAAGGAGGCTCCTGCCCACACGCAGCCTTTGGAGCTGCCTGATTCTACGAATGCAGGCAGCAGAGCATCCCCAAACCCGGTGCCCGGCCGTCCCTGCGCGCCCACCGTGGCACCAGCTGTGCAAACAGGCTGCTTCTTCAGGAGCTTTTCGTTAACGTGTTTAACATTTAGGTGAAAAAGCACTACAGCCTCTGGGTTTTCCTTCTCCAGCAAAGCACGCTCAGGGCCAGTCTCTGGTCTCGCTCCAGGTGTAAATCTGGAGTAATCCTATTAACCTGCCTCCAGAGCATTTTTGAAGTCATTAAACGTGAAGGTGCTGCTAATTTCTGGTCTCACTGCCTCCGAGGCGTATCCTACCAGTGCTGCTGCTGCCCAAAGGGTTTTTGACATAGTGTAAAAGCAAAGCTCCTGAATGAGCGGGGCCGCCTGCGCTTGTTGGCATCGACGCTGGGGAAGGCGCCTATACACACCTGGGACGGAGCCGGGGAGCTCCGCGCCAGCCCAGCCCCGGGGCCCCTCAGTCCGACCACTCGTTATCGTCCAGCTCGGAGTCATCGTCGGACTCGCTGTACTCCACCGCGATCCGGCGGGACAGGATCGTCGCCACGTCATTGCCCACAGGCTCTTTTTTGGCCTCTTGTTCCCACTGCTCCTGGACTTTCCGGAGTTGGATTCCTGCAGTAGGAAAGGGGGGAAGGTTTTAGGGGCAATGTGTCCAGCACCCATGGGTGCACTCAATGTGCAGCATCCCCCCAGTTAAATGTATTGGCTGAAATGGGGTGGCTGCAGCCCCCTTGCAGGAGGATGCACACAAATACAAAGCTATATGAGATAATAATGAGATGCATGCAATTATAAAGCTATATAATAGAATAAAGCTCTTCCTCTGCTTCCATTCAACCTGAAGAGGTTGAACCTTCTCAAAGGTTAAATCTGCCATTCGATCTGAAGATTTGCAGGAAGGGAAATGCAAGAGACCTTCAGGCACGTCGTCTGCTACAGCCTGCAAGGAGGCCACGAGCACAAGAGCTGCCAGTCACCCCCGCGGGGCTCCATCCCACCTCCGGCAACGGGTTTCCCCCATCTCCCTCCCATTGCATTTCTTCCCCTCCCCATTTCCCACCTAGCTGCCACCAACTTCACCCATCACCTGGCCACCTGGGGCTCATCTTGCACTCAACGAAGCCCATGCCACCCAACTCTACGCCAAGAGGCATTTTGCCACTGTGGTGGCAGTGCTGGGGACCGGTCCCCCCCCTCCTTCCCGCTGCCGCTCACCCCTGCGGATGGCTGCCAGCAGGTCGCTCCGGGCATCGCTCATGGGCATCAGCGGGATCTGCGGCTTCCGAGGCTCCACAGCAGGGGCCGGCGGCGACGCCGAGTGTGCCGGCGAGGCGGCAACGGCGGGGGGTCCCGGCGGTGGCGGTGGAGGTGCCACCGGG